GTAATCAGGATTTTACTACTCTCTGTACAGAGCAGATCATGGAGAGTATACGTAACAAATTATTACAGAAAAATGCTGTATTTCTAAAAGCAGTGATTGAATAAAAATCCTTCTGGATAAATAGGCATATTCATGTTTTAATCAACACTGCATAAATAAGTCAAAGCTGAGTAAAGTCTACTGATCAGTTTAGAAGACACTGATAATAACATTCCTTTTAAGAAGGTGGTCTCCAAATTATTCAATTAAAAAATAACCACATGACAGAATTTAGTGTTACTCAAATTAACAAATACCTTGGGAACAGAGTATATTTTTAACAAAGTTGACATGGCCAATGAAGGTTTTGGGAGGAAAGTCCTCAAATCCTCAATGCTAGATCAGGGGCAGAGGCCTCAAGAATGATGAACGATTCTTAAATTTTTTTTTGGAAGTGGAGATATGAACTTTTCTGGGAAGCTCTGTGCACCCTCTCCATCACTGAAACACACGTGCACACACACATATACAGGCAAAGTTTTACACACAAATTAAGAAATCTGCAGATTCCTATAATCCACCAATGGACTTCAAGTTAGAAGCCCCTGATCCAGAAGACTGACCTACTGAGACACAGAGAACAGACAGAAGAATATAAAGTCACAGGATTGTGTGTGTGTGTGTTTGTTGCATCACCTATGCCATGCCTATGTATAAGCTTCTGGTAACTCAGTAAGGAATCATCCTTTAAGAAATGTAAGTAATCCAACAGCCCTACAGAATCTTGCTTGGAAGGAGACAAAAAAAAAAAATCCATATTCTGAAATATTATTTCACACACATACACATGTAATTACTATACTACTTCTACCTATGGAAACAAAGCTTCTGACAACAAAGTCACTGAAATGCAGTTTTTGTTCACTGCTGTATCACACACTAGGTACTCAAATGAACTGTTGGATGAAAAAATGAAATCGCATACTTTTACTTAAGGAAAAAACATCACAGTAACCAAAATATTCCTAATAAGCCCATTATAACATTTTTATAACATTTTTAAAAACCAAGGAAGAGAGATAGATACTAACCTTTAATTACCACACCAGTATAACAGCAGTGACAAGGATTCTTAATATAGTGTTTGGTTTTAAAATAAATAAATTCCTTATTCCCAATAATGGGATAAATCAAAATAAAAGACTCACCTAAAAACCTAAGAAATTACATTAATTCCTTTATCGAAATGCCCTTTTTCAATCTCATCAGATACGGTTTTAGAGCTCCAGTGCAACTCAGGTACCTACACAGTCCTTCAGTATTCCTAGGTATGCTACTTCTTTAGACAGAAGAAATAAACCAAGTTCAAATTTTTCTATCTAATGAGTAACAGGCAAGTCACAGGCATATCTTGTTGCTCCTGGGGGAGACAGGGAGAAAAACTGCAAAACAAAGATTCAACTTGTTTAACACTAAATTCCTCATAATACAAAATACATTATCATTTAAACAGTGAACTATCCAGGGACATATGTTAAGAATCACCTCTGAGAGAGTCCAGGTCAAAGTATGACAGTAAGGTAGCCAAGAACCACTAGAGAAGAATAAAGACTACTTTGATACAATATAAACCAGCAAGAACATTTAATATGATTTATAAAATCTGATATACACATAATTTTCACAAACAAACCTACTGGATTCAGTAAAATAGAGTATATTTTAGGAAAACATGTTCAAGAACTGTGATGCTCCAGTCATTCTCTTATTGCTCCAATCAGGCACAATGCAGGGAGACTGCATAGCTTCCCAGATCCTAGCATCAGCTGGCACAATCATTCTGACTCATTTAAGTCACCACAGGGCAAGAGGGAAAAAACTGGATTCATCTAAATAAGTTACACAACATGATCCCTTCTCAAGATAAAGAAAGGCTAAGCTTATCACCAAAATCTACTTTTTGGAAAAGACCAGGTTTTGTTGAATTTATAAAGCTATATTAACTGCTTCCTGTGTCAGGAATGTATCTTGAATGGTATTACAAACATCAGTTAACAGAGCTTTCCAGATAAAGTGCCAGATAACTTTGCTTTTACTCTAAAAATCTAGTTAATCACTTAATAACACAAATAGAAATGGTATCTACCGAGTGTAGCAGGAACTATAATATCCACTTTTTCCATCCTCCTTAGTAACCCCAATTTTACTTGGTTCAAGTATATGTCCAGTAAAAGGCTACATTTCCCAGCCTCCCTTGTAGCTAGATATAACCATGTGGCTAAGTTCTGGCCAATGAAATTTAAGGGGAAATAGTGTGTAAGACTTCCAGGAAAATTAAGGCTTTCTTCCCTTCCTTTTTTCGGCTGCCTTGCTTATGGATATAAAGGCTAAAGTATGAGAAGTCATATTCAACCACTACGTGACCTTGAGAAAGGACACATGCATAAGGAGACAGACAATGCCTGGATCCTCAACGATTTTGTGGAACACTCAATCAGCCTTAAAGTGCTTCCCTCTGAGGATCTTTAAATGAGGATAAACCCTTCTATCAGTGGTTCCCAAACTTTGCTGAGCATTAGAATTACCCAGCTAATGGTCTGACTGAGACTAGAGGAACCGCAGAAGACACAGCCCCCAGACTCTCTGTTAACCAAAAACTATAACCATTCCCGAAGTCAACTCTTCAGACAATGATTAGACTGGGCTGTAAAACGTAAAATAATACTTGTGAAGAGTGTGCTTCTTAGTTCAAGCAGATACACGAGACTAAATGGGAGGCTCCTGGCTAGAGGCAGGATGAGAAGGCAGCAAGGAACAGGAGCTGGTTGGATGGACACAGGAAACCCGGGGTGGAAAGGCAGAGGGTGCTGTCACATTATAGGGATTGCAACTAGTGTCACATAACAGTGTGTGTATAAATTTTTGTATGAGAAATTAACTTGAGCTGTAAACTTTCACCTAAAGGACAATTAAAAAAAAAAAAGGGAGAGAGAGAGAGAGAAAGAAAAAAGAATCACCCAGCAAGCTTTTTAAAACCTTGTCCAGGAGTTTCTTACAAACGTAAATATAGACTTACCATTGATTCAGCAATCACACTCCTAGGTACTTATCCAAATGAGATGAAAACATCTGTCCACATAAAAATCTGCACGTGAATGTTTATAGTAACTTTATTCATAACTGCCCCAAATTGGAAGCAACCAAGATGCCCTTCAATAGGTGAATGGATAAACAAACTGTAGTAGATCCATAAAAACCAAACCAAACCCACTACTGTTAACTCGATTCTGACTCATAGCGACCCTACAGGACAGAGTAGAGCTGCCCAACAGGGTTTCCAAGGCTTTAAATCTTTATGGAAGCAAACTGTCACACCTTTCTCCCCTGGAGCAGCTGGTGGGTTTGAAACTCCAACTTTTTGGTTAGCAGCCAAGTGCTTTAACCATTGCACCCCCAAAGCTCCTGGTGGATCCATACAATGGCGTATTATTCAGCAATAAAAATAAATGAGCTAATTAAGCCACAAAAAGACATGGAGGAAACTTAAATGCATACTGCTAAATAAAAGAAATCAGTCCAAAAAAGCTACATACTGCATGATTCTAACTATAAAACATTCAGGAAAAGGCAAAACCATTTAGAAAAAAGAAAAAAACCTATTGCCGATGAGTCGATTCCAACTCATAGCAACCCTATAGGATAGAGAAGAACTGTCCCATACGGTTTCCTAGGAGCACCTGGTGGATTCAAACTGCCAGCCGTAGCTCTTAACCACTATGCCACCGGGGTTTCCAAAAATTAGAGAGACAGCAAAAAGATCAGTGGTTGGGGGGAGGGAAGGGATAAACAGATGGAGCACATGGGATTTTTAGGGCAGTGAAACTATTCTGTATATTGTAATGGTAGACATACGTTAATACGCATTTGTCAAAATCATAGGACTATACAACATAAACAGTGAATCCTTATGTGCTTAAGCCCGCCATATTGGGCCTGTATTACTAGAAGCTAATTCAGATTCTGATACTGCATAATTATCAGTTAGAAAAAAGTAGGAAAGTTAGAAAAAAAATCTAAATATCTTTATGGCTATATTCCATTAACCACGTAGTTTAGGTGAAAACACACAAATAGAAAGGTATTTTTAAATGTTTCTACACTTTAGTTTATTATTAAAATAGGATGATGAAGAGTATATTTATTGAGTACTTTATATTTTAAGCATTCTCTCTATTTAATCCTTATTTCAACCCTATGAGGCGGTATCATGTATTTTCCAGCTGAAGACATAGAGGCTCACAGAAAACAAGTAACTTGTTTGAGGTCTCACATCAAGCATCACGATTCAAATTCCTATTTGCAGAACTTCAAAGCTTCCGCATTTTCCATTACACCGTAACTCAATGAGAAAAGAGACGGACATCTCGCTAAAGAGCTAAATTTTTCTGGAGGAAATCTTAACTTCATGAAAGAATAAATTTGAAAATGAATAAAAAATGAACAAGGGAAATGCAGCCCTATCAAATTTGTAAGCATTACCTAAATCATGTGAAATGGAAATATTACCTCTAAGCTGAGTCTTAGAAATAAGATATCTGTTCTAAATAACATCAAATAAATGAATTTAAAAAATTAAGAGTTCATTTGTCAGTTTGAAAATAAACCTTTTAGAAGTACTATCTTTAGAGAGCAACCGGTTTATGAGACAGTATTTGTTAAAATACAAGGAATCTAAATTAGTCAATGCAGTGACCCAAAGTCTAAATTTTGAAATAATCATTAAATTTCAAAATAAACAGATTTTACAGAAAGGTCCCAGTTCTTTCACTACCCAGCTTTTTGAATTCTCCTTACATCAAAAAGTTAATGCTTAGAGTTATCCACGACTCGATACAGGAATAAACACACATACACAGTCAAAAATGAAAACAGAATTACACTAAAGCCTAAAAGCTTCTGAAAGGTAAATATTCCAGATTCTATAAAAGTTAAGAATCTGAAAAACATACAATCTTACTTACCTTGGCTTTTCTCTTTTTTCTCTTTGCCTTTCGAAATCTCGTCCTCTGTCCTTTCCATCTCTTGGTTTTTCTTCTATCCTGTCTTTTACTTTATACTTTTCTTTATACTTTTTCCCAAGAGCAATATCCTCCTGTATAGGAGGGGGTGGACTAGGGGTACGAGGTCCTTTCTTTTTACTTTGGTTGCTTTTTGAAGTCCTGAAGGCAACACAAAGCCATCATTAGAGGTCCAAATACTTTTGGAAGGTCATATGGATATATATATTTTTTCATTTTAACTACTTTTTAAAAAAGGCAATAATCCTTTCAATCAGTGCCCTTTACTATTTTGTATATCAGCAACCAATACCCAGAAAGAAAAAACACAGAAATGAGCAAAGAACTAATTTACTTGCCACATATTTTGTTACCCCACTTATTATTATAAAATTTAAAAGGATGTTTCTGAGAAAAGATAGACATGGAGTGGGAAAAGACTTTGAAACAAGGAAAGAATATAAAATTAAACAATTGCATTTTTTTAATAGTAAAAAAGTACTGTTTTATTAGCATATAAACGTCTTCACTGTAAACAAAACAAAACAAAAATAAAACCAGGGATAATATAGAAAAGTAGATGAAGACAGTAAAAATAACTTATAATTCCACTACCCAAGGATAACTACTGCTAACACCTGGGATATACTTTCAGACTTTCCCCATGTCTGTCTGTCTCTCTCTCTCTCACACACAGAATATCCAATCATAATGTTCTGTACATATTTTTTGTACTAAATACAGTGTATCTTCCTATAACAAAAAGTAGACATACATCATCATTTTTATGAATTGTACAGAATCTCCTTAAATAGATGCTCCAAAACTTCTACAAATAATCTAATATTGGTAAGTTTGACAGGTGGCTTCCAAGTTTTTATCATTATAAAAGACACAAAATTACATCATCTACAAATGAAATTGTCAGAAAACACTCATTTGAATCTTTGAGTCTTCTCTAAGACATCTATCCTAACTCTGAGATACCAAAGATGATCTCCTAAAATGTTGGAATTTTGACTTTCACATTTAAGTCTTTAATTTACCTGGAACTGAATTTTGCATATAGACCATCCGCTTTCATTTGATACTTTAAATACTTTAAGTGATTTCATATAAGTGATATAACTTTAAGCCCTTACACACCAAAAACTGCCTATCTTTGCTTCATATCTGAACAATGTTTGACTGGATACGGCACTTTGAGGTCACAAACCTTTTCCCTCAGAGCTCTGTAAATATTATTACAATATCTTGTAGCATGTAGTACTATAGACGAAAAGTCCAAAGACAGTCAATTTTTTTCCTATGTTGGTTACCTGTTTTTTCTCTTGGGATACTTATAAAACTTTATTCCTTGGAAATCAAAAAATTACCAAGGTAAGTCCAGGTTTTTTTTAAAAACTTTTCCAACACTCAATAAGCCATTTTAATCTGAAACTTCAAGTCTTTTATTCAAATTCTTCTGTTTTTATTTCATCATTTCTCCAAATACCCAGTCTCTCTGGTTCTCCTTAATATACAGTTACTGAATTCCTGGATGTCTTCCATGTTTCAATTTCCTGTCATTTCCATCTCTCCTTTGCTTTCTGGTATCTCAAGTTTGTCTTCAAAGTCTGTAATTTTTTCTTTAAGTAGTACCCACTTCACTACTTCTAAATTTGACCATCTCATTATTGTGCTATTTTCAGCATAAAAATCTTTTTCTTCCAAAAAGTCCCTGTACACATATTGCTTTTTTTCCAAGACCAACTGTTGTCATCATGTCAATGCAACATCCTCAAATCGTACTAAAAATATAAATTTATAATTTAAGTTTGTGCCTATTTTTTGCATCAACTGTTTCTGTGTAAGCTATCTACGCTGACTTTTCAGTCTGGTACTCTGTTTTTCGGTAGCCATTTTTTTTTCATACATCTGGTGAATTTCCACTGTGCTCATTTCACTCTCTATGGATATTCATAAGTGAGGACTTAAGCCTAAATCCTGGAGCTAACTTCCTATGACCCATGAGTTCTCTAGTCATTATATTCCGTAGCTCTAAAAAGGTAGTGGATAGTCCCTTCCCCAAAGTTGCTGATAAGATTACAAAAAGATAAAAAGTATAAAATCACCTGAATCATGGCAGACATGCAGAAAATCTAGCTTAGTCCTTATACCTATTTCTCATTATCACAGGTAGGATTAACCACTTAAGCAAATAAAAAATTAATAAAATATGGCAAAATCTATTTTCCATCCTTGTCTTCTGCCAAGAATCATAATTAGCTACATATGTTGTTGCATATTTATGAAGATTCAAACTTTTCATGCACAAAACATAAGTGATAAATACCTGCATTTCTAAGAAATTCTTCCATTTAAAAGGTAAATGTAATAGTTGGCATCTATATAAAAAAATTTTAGAAGATACGTTTTATAGATACATTTTCAAGATAAAATGATGTCGGAATTCTTGACAAAAAGTGTATTTTCACATTGTTGTCTGTGACAGCTACCTGTTTATCAAACATTTCCAGGCCTGACTCACAAAAAGCTCTCACACTCCCAGGAATGTAAACTAGATAGCTAAGTAAATACAATACTCAATTTCTTTCTTTGTGCATTCCATTCTTTGGTGTCCTTGAAAGTCCAAGAAAGTGGAGCCACAGTCAGAAGGAGACTGGGTTACCAAATCTCCACGTATAGGAGAGCCCCTATTAATCAGAAACAGTCATTTTGACTTAAGAGAAAAATAAACTTCTGTTCTGTTAAACCAATGACATCATGGGATTTACCTATTACAACAATCAGGATCACTCCAATACACTTAGTAAGGTGCAAAATTTCTTCACATTACCTCTAAAAATATATTTGGTTGGAAAACACAATGTTACAAATTTAGGGTTTTCAAGGGCTTTCCAAATGAAAGGGGCCAAAATTAGTTTCAGCAATCTGAAGTCAACAAGATCTTTCAACGTTTTTTAAGTCATCTGCTTATCTTTAGTGGCACAAAGCCCACACCCTACTTGTGGCAAAGAGCACTCTTGTCTATGTCCGTCATTTTTAGACCCTTTCTCTCCTCAAAACTATTTCTTTTGAATAGCTTTTGACATGCTTCACACTTCTTTGTACAAAGTTATTACACAAAAATTTACCAAATAAAACTAAGAATAACAAAGCAGATGAGCAGACTAGATATTACATTTGCTGATTCTAAGATGCACTGCCTCCCCCAGATCAGGTTAATCTCACTACCAGACTGTATTTCATGATATAATGCCCCCCTCAAAAAAAGTCAGCTTTCAGAGAGACCCGCAAGTTTTAATTAGTCAGAACTTATCTCTGTCCATTCAATACAAGAATCGAGTAAGACCAAGGTGTGTTTGCCTGATTGTCACTTGAGCTGCCTTCCTGACATTGGTTACACTACTCTACTGAATTTTAACTGAAATTCTAATCAATACTTACTGCTTAAAATGCCTTCAAAAAGTATATAGTCTGGCCCAGCAACGAAAGTAAAGTTGATTACCTGACCCACTTTAAGCAATGTAAATTGCATGGTTAAATAGATGTCATACTCAAGTCAATGTTTTCCTTGTACATTTAATGTAGTTCTTTCCAGACCCATGTTTTCCTATTATTAATCAAAGGTGCATCTTAAAGTCAACATCTTAGACTCATCTTAGTATTCTGAGTCACCATCTCAGAATACAGGAAACATGGTGTTAAATTAATGTAATTATTCATGTAAAATATTCACTGAAGACTAAATGAATTACTAATAACATAGTAAGAAAAGATTAATGGATCAGTGCATGATGAAACTAACCTTTCATTTGAACAGTTATCAAAACTTTCTATGAAGAGGGGGGCCAAGATGGCACAGTAGTCAGACACTTCCGGTGGACCCTCTTACAACAAAGACCCGAAAATACAACCGAATTAATTATATACGGCAATGTCGGAGCCCTGAATATCAAAGGCAGAGTTGAGGAACCAGACAGAGTGGCAGGGGGAGGGAGAAACGGTTCGGAAGCAGCGAGAAGTTGCCAGACCTGACCTGGCGAGAGCCTGAGCCCTCCAGGCCTGATCAGCTCGGGTGTGAGCGGTGAGGCAGGCAAGCGGAGGTACTCAGGCGGTGTGGTTTCTGCACCAGGAGAGACCAAGCCCCAGAGAGTCTACACAGCCACACAGAACCAGTGAGAAGCAGCCCTGGATTGGCGAAATATAAGTACTTGCGATGGACTATTGTGCAGATCAAACCCCCCCCTTAGGGAAAAAACTCTCGCCCATTTATCTCCCTGCTCCCTGCTCTGCACTGGGTCCTGGACCGGCTTCAGCAAATGCCAAGTCCCGTGGGCCAGAAGTAGGATCCATCACCTGCCTGGAGCCATTCTCCCTGCCTTGGAGAGTAAACAAATAAACAAACAGAGGGAAAAAATAAACTGCCGGCTCCCCTAAGCCAAGAACCCAGGGTACGCACAGCTCCTTTGCCTAGGCACAGGCATAAGGGATCCACGGACTTTTTGAGTGCCTCTCCCCCTGCATAGACTTGTGTGGGCCCATCTCAACAGCACAGGCCCTCATTACTGCAGTACAACAGACTATATACCGTAACTCTAACTTCAACTGTTTCAGCTGTGAAGTAGCAGGTTCATGACATTTGACACTGCTCTGCCCATTAAGCAGGGTCTTCATCTACCCACATTACGGGCCTGAGGACAGTTGACACCACCTACACCACCTACTATAGGGGCCCATAAATAAGAGGTGCCCCCCAGTCGTTACAGCCAACAGCATTAGGTGCTCATACTCCGGCTGCAAAACCTACCCACCTACGCGCTCTAGGGAACAGGAACACACCCTCCTCCTGGAAACTCGGGGGTGGCCATCAGCCCCCTACCTTGCTCAGAGTGTGTCCCCCTGCTGCAGCCAGATGCTTGTGCCTACATCAATCACTTGTATCTGTCTAGGACTATAAGTGAGAGCCTACATCAAACACTTGCTGGTTATCAACCTGGGCACCTGAGCTGAATCCATACAGGGAGAGTAGGGACTCCTGAGCTCACATACTTAGTAACAGGTCTAACCACCTGGTGATAGGACACAAGCGCTTCAAAGGTGCCAATAATCAAACTAGCTTATCTAAGCAGCCTATTTGGGCACATCAAAACAAAACA